ACCCAAAACACAAAAACACAACATAGAAAGTAGTACAGACACTTGTAACTACGGTTACAGGAAGATATGAGTACTGTACCAGCTGTCAGGATGAATGCTGCCTCAACCCAAGCATCCTCCACAATACTCTGTTGCTTCTGTTTTTAAAAATAACCTTCATTGAAAATCCTACTAAGCTAGTTTCAAAATTATAGGTGGTCTCCCATAAGATTGTCCTTATAAATTCTACTGAACAGCAAGAATATCCATAATCCAGCTTACAGACTGTACACATAGCCTAACCAGAGCAAATAAAGGTATATATATCTTACTTGACAGATCCACAATACCAATAAATTATCAGATTGATTAGACGAACTCATTTCTTCCTATCAGCTGCATACACAACGGAGTGGGGGATAAATTAATTTATATTTGCAGTGGTATCATGTTTGAAGGACTAAAAAACCACCAGATGGAAAAATGATGCACTGGAATATAGATAAGGTTAGGTAGTTCAAACCAATTATAAAGGATTCTGTCTGTACGTTCTTTTCTACTAATTTTACTCCTGGGAAAAAACAAGATAAAACTGTTCATCTGTAGGAAAAGATAAATGAAGCCTTAGGAAGCAAGCTCTCCTTTTCTTGCCAGTTAAAGGAGCCAAGTAACAACCTCAGGGATATTCCAAAAGGCACTGATCCTTTCGGAAGTGCAAGACTCAAATGCACTCGGACCTTTCAGAACTCCTTCACTGAAAACATCAGGTCCAGAGTTCTGAAGTCAAAGCCAGCAGAATTGCTACAGTGCAGAATTTGTGGGTTTATGTAACAATATGTAGAAAAAAAACCAGACATATTTTCTTCTGGTATCCCCAAATAAAGTACTAATCACCAGACATGCCACAAAAATCTTCATAACAAAATAAAATGTACTTTTTGGTTATTTTAAGTAGTACAAATTATTAAAGTTGCTTTTTTCAATTTTTTACTTACATTCATCTCCCCTGATTTTAGTAGAAGTCTTCTTGGCTTGTTTCTTCTGACCAGTACCCACCCGTGCATTCTCAATAGCCCTCTTTTTGGTTACTTGTTTCTTGTTTTGGAATACCTTTTGTCCCTTTTCATGCTCATCCTGAGGCACTTCGTTTTCTTTCATTTCGGAATGCACCTGCAATTTAAACATACTTCATTCAAACAGTTTCTTCCAATTGTTTGTTCCTTTCTGTTCCAAAGAAAGGCTGCTTTTCTGAGAACAGTCAATCAGTGGAACAGGTTGCCCAGTGAGTTGCATAGCCTCCATGTCAGGGGTTTTCAACATGAGATTAGATAACGCCTTAAGCACTGTGGTCTAACTTTACAATTGAGTCTGCTTTGGTTGGGAGATTGAGATTTTCTGAACTCCAACCTGAATTAACCTGTGAAATACTTACCCTGTTACTTCACAAACAGATATATTAGAAAGCTTTCACCTGCACAGCTCCAACATTTTAGTATAAAATTGCCTTTATTGACAAGAAATAATTATTTGCAAGTAAAAATACGTTCACTGGGTATGTTACTTTTCACTGTTGGAGCTTTGGTTACTGTACAATTTTCTAACACTCTTCATCTCTTCATTTCCCTCCTTAGGTCAGTAAAAGTCTTTCAGACAGTTCTTAGTTTACCCACTCCTTGTAACTCTAGAGAAAAAGAATTCTACGTCCATCTCACCTTGAAACTTCCTCTCCCTCAGTCATACAACACTCACAATAAAAAAAAATTGTGAAGTTTAGGCAATGGTGCAACTTCTAATTATTTTTTCTGTATTAAAAAAGTGAGAACAGCCTTATTTTAGATAAATTCTGAAACTATCTTAATATTCAGAATACTATGATGAACTAGGTAAAAGCACCCTTACACTCAGATAAAGTGCTTGGTATTGTATATTTCTTAGAGGAATTTATTTCCTTGAAGCAATGACTAGCAAGTAATGTCCGTTTATTATAGAATAGCACATAGTTAAGATAGAGAAAAGTCAGTGCTAGAAAGTACATAAGCCCAATACCAGAACATTGCATATGAAATTCTTATATGTATATATACACACACACATATATAAATGTATACCATCTCTAAATGATGGTAAAAAAGAAATCAAGTGTGTTTAAATTACACTCAGAGGAAGGGGAGACAAAACCAAGTAATGCATGTCACCTCTTTCTCATCAGAAAGCACTGGGTTTTCTTCACTGGTATTAGTTTCCTCATGGAAGTTCCTCTTTTTTCTGGTTATTTTCTTTTCTTTGCAATATCTTTTTGTAATAAAACACACTGAATCAGGCACAATTTCCTGATTGCTCAGTTCATCCAATTTGATGGAAGCAGATGCACTCTTTTCAGGATCCTGTAGCAGAAAAATACTATAATGTTGTAGATATCTGACACAAACATGAATTAGATACTCCAGGGACAGTTTCAAATTTATTATTGGAAAAAGTATTTCACACAGAGGAAAAACAGTAGCAAGCGTGCCATTTAGCAGCATAGTAATCACGAAACTGGCAATATCTAGATTTCCCTAAACATCAAAGCTCATTGTTTGAGGACTCTCAAAATAAATTCTATGATTGTTTTATTATATTGTATTTTAATAAGATTATAAAAGCCTAATATTTCATATTTGAAATCTAACTTGCATAATGCTGCAACCCTCCTAGACTTGTACCTTTGTGGAACACTCTTCACCAAAAAAAATTTTTAATAAGCTGAAAAGGATTACAGCATTCCCTCAAACCTTTAAAGATTTTTAAAGGAAGCACTTAAAGGGAGATACATTTTAGAAAAAGCAGATGCTGAATTGTTTTTTATCAAAAACAAAAAACATCACCACACTCAACAAAATAATTCAGCTTACAAAAAAATTTTTAAAAAAAGTTAAGAAAATAATAGCTTAAGAAATTAATAAAGGAAATAGCACAACTCTATCACTTTCATTACAGTGTTAGTGTAAGTAAATCGTAATAAATGCAAAATGTTTTTAAATTACTATCTAGACATGCAAAATAAATAAAATATTTTTATATTTTATTACTGACTATTGTCTGGAGCTAAACAGGCAAGAATTGAGATTTGTTCAATGGAAATTAGGTGTTAGTGTTTACAGAAACTAATTTTGTACCAATGCTGAAAAATACATTATTAATTTTTGCACCGTAAAGGAAAACAGCTTTGGGTCATATGGGAGGCCACTTCAAAACTAACATTAGCATACCTATTTCTATCAGTATATGAGTACATTAAGGTAAGGGCCTAAGAAGAAAAAGGTATTTCTATTACAGTTCACATCACGGTCAGAACCACCCTCTAGCACACACCCCATCCTACTGGCTATAAATTTAAGTTTATATCTCTTAAAAACAATAGCTGATTTATCATCTATTACCATATTTTCTTGTTCTGTTTCTTCGAAGTGTTGCTTCAATGATTCCAACAGTTTGTCTGCCTGGAGAGAAATCAAAGCAACTTATGAGCCTAATAGACCATTAAGTCATCAAACAAAAACCTGCATAAACATAACCAGTGATCTATAAATTGATCAAACAAACAAGCAGAACATTTCCCGAATCCGATGGAATAAGGTGCCTAGGGCTTCATTCAAGGCAAATTAGGGAAAGTGCTTAAGGCCGCAGATATATCATCATGGCTAGGCTTCCCGAAGGAAGATTTGGGAAAGGCTCTATCCACATTTGTTACAAGCACACTGGTGGCTAATTCTCCACCGAGACACAAAGGCAAATTTCCCTGACTAGGTTTCTTTCGGTCTGTCTGTTTTTCAGACAAGGTTAATTGCTCAAGGATGAATGAGACAGGCTGTTTTAACCAACACTGCACAGCTGAACATGAATTAAAATCATATTAAAGTTCTGTCTTGTCCATACTACATGCAAAGCACCTTTTGTCCCTTGCATACATTCAGCAGCAACAGCCATAATACAACAACAAAACCACGCCATTGATAATTTGGGCCACAAAAGGCTCTTAAACACCTGGAAAGATTTTATGCTGGAAAGATCAGCATAAAATCAAACCCGAACTAGGAGTTTAAGAGCAAAATATCCCAAAACTAAAACTCCAGGAAAAATTCTTAGTCAAGTCAGGACAACGAACTCCCTTGTCCACCGAAGCCGTGGATTTTCTTCAAGGTTTTGCTTCTCCCGTTGCTGGCAGCGCCTGCCAGGAGAGGCCAGGCCGTGTCACACGCACACCAGGCAGAATATCGGGGGGAGCTTCAACTTCTCTTCCTTAACCGTGGCTGGTAAACGCCCACACACGCTTCCCTCTCCGAAGGCGCCCTTCTGTCATTGCTCCTCCGAATCGCAAATAAAACAACCAACTGACCACACCTACGCGCGCCGAAGGGGGGGGGCGGAGAAAGCAGGGGGACAGCGGCGAGAGAGGAGCAGCTGGGCCACCATCGGCCGGGGGCAGGAGAGGCGGGGCAGCCTCCCCTCCTCGGTGACTCCGGACGGACAGAGCCCCGCGTCGCCCCCTCCCCGAGCCCCGCATGGGAGCGCACGGCCGGGCTGCTTCTCTCGGGACGCACCGCGCGGGCCAGACCGCCACTAGAGCCAGGAGGGGACGGCGGCTGCGGCCCCATACCGAGAGCACCGCCCGCGGGGACGGGCGAGACATTCGCTGCCCTGGGCTCACGGCCGGGCCGAGGGGGAACCTCATTACCCGGACCTTCCCCCGCCCACCCCTCGCTCTGCTCCCTGGCACCGCTCCCTCCCCGCTGCCCTGCTCACGCGGAGGTTGGCCCTCAGGCCGATGGCCTTGGCAAGGCGCTGGAGCTCGACGTATTTCAGCGCCTCCAGGGTGCGGGGCGCGGCGAGCGGCATGGTGGCGGCACCCCCGGCCCGCGCCGCGCGCCCAACCGACACTGCGCCCGCCCACCCTCGCCGTTCGAACTGCCCGCCGCGCCAGCCCATTGGCTGCGACAGGAAACGGGCCCCGGGGGCGGGGCGCGGGAACCGCCAATGACGACGCGCTCCGCTGCGCGTGCTTATTTTCGAGTGCGCTTGGGCGGTCCCGGCTAGGGGGAGTTTCGCTCGGTGCGGCTCGCTGCCCAATCACCTCGGGCGGCCAGGATTGACGCGCCCACTGTCCAGTGGCAGAGCAGACCCGTGAGCCGCACTCCAATCGCGAGGCTCAGAGGGCGGGCACCGCGCTCAAGCGCGCGGCGGGAGGAGATGGCGGTGCGGCGGCAGCTGCGGGAGCTGTTCCAGGATCCGCAGCTGTTCCAGGACCCGCAGCTCGTCGGGACCATCGTGCTGGAGCGGGCGTCCTCCCCGGCCGCTGCCACCTGGATGCCGTCGCCGCCGTCGCCGCCGTCGCCCTTGCCGCCGGCCGCGGAGCCGGCGTCGCCTCCGCGGCAGCAGTGTCCGCTGCCGGAGCTGTGCGCCGTGTTCCACTGCCGCGGCTGCTGGACGGTGCTGGGGGACTCGCTGCAGTTGTGCGCGCCGGAGGCGCCGCGGTTCGGCTTCCTCGCCTGCTTCAGTCAGTGCCTCCTCGGGGAGGGGGGTGCCGAGCCCGCGCTGCCACTGCCCCTGGGGCCGCGGGGCGGGAGGACGCGCCGTTGCCCCGGGCGGGTCTCAGACCGGGCTGGGGTTGGTCCGGGGGCTCTCGCCTGCAGCGCGTCTCTCTCTCCGCAGAAGTCACCAGTGATGTGGTCTGGGAGGATTCGCTCTTGATCGGCCTCGAGGAACCGCTCCTGGGATGGTGCGTAGCTCCCCTAGTCCTTGCTCTTGGCATAGGGCCGCCGCGGTAAATCGGGCGGGCAAAGCCGGGTCTGTCAAGGCCGGGAGCCGGGGGCTCCTCCGGCTCGTGCACGGAGGGTTGTGAGGGGCTTAGCAAACTCCCAAGTGCTTTTTTTACCTCTGCTTCACCGCTTCGGATGGAGAAACCTTTTGTAGGGATGTAGCTTTTGCTTCTGTCAAAATCAAAAGTTTTACTGCTCTAACCTTTGTAGTGGAGAGGAGCATTTGAGCAATGCAGTAAGAGACGGCCTACCGTTTAGGTCTCCTTCTTTCCTTCCCTAAAAGGTCTTTTATCCGAATTAAAGCATCTCTGGGTTGTGTTTGTTTGGTGGTGTTTGTTTGGGTTTTTTTGTTTGTTGGGTTGGTTTTTTTTTTTTTTTCGTGGGTTTTGTTTGTTTGGTTTTTCTTAGTACTGAAAACGGGTAATTTCTGCTGCTCTATTCATTAGGCTACAGTTAGCAACAGGTTTGGTAACTCAGGGACCGGTCTAATGGGAGGGGCTTAAAATGTCATCTGAGGTCTTACAGAAGCAGTAGCTCATTTAAAAGATGTTTAAAGGCTGTTTTACAAGCTATAAGAACTGGGAACTTTTTAAATATAAGACTTGCTATTTTTTTTTCTATCATTCCCACCCCCTCTCTCTGCATGAAGCAATAATCTGTTTTACCAAGAGGAAATTTCACATTTGTGATCTGGCATATGCATTGTTTTATCAGTTAAATCCTGTTTGAGTAGTGTAGCCTAAACCACTCTGTGATAATAAGACGGGTATTTTCTTCCATAATTGCACCTTCACTTATTGAAGAGATTACTTCATTACTTGGGCACAACATGCCCAACTGCTTATGTTCACATTCTTTGTGTATCTATTATTTTTTTAATGAGAAAGCATTATTATGTCTTGGGTTTTTGTCCTAATAGAACTGAAGATTTGATGTTGTCTGACAGACATGTAGTATCTATGGTTTCAAAAGCTTTTGTTTAAAAATATTTTTCCCTTTCTCCTTTTAGTGCTTACAATGCGTTATCCTGTCGGTCATGTGGCTTGTCTGTGGGCTTCATCCTCCATTCTGCCGCCAGTGACCTGGCATATCTCCGAGGCTTGTTCTGTTTCTTCAAGGACAGAATCCTCTGGTGAGTACACTGTATTCTTACAGTCAGGGATTTCACAGGTATTTGTAAGTTACTGTACAACTGGCCAACAGCTAAAGTGACTTTACTTTTGTCTGAGCACATTGGTGTGGGATTTTAACATCCTGGATGTCTAAGTTGTTTGTGTTGATGTGAATCTATTTGATTTGCCTTGCACTTCTTGAGTGTCCTCATGTAATGTAAGGATTTAAATTTAATTGAGTGAAATGCTGAAATCTCCTTCTGTTCCAGATTTGCTTAGCTAATGTAAGGTATCAAAGTAGTTCCATGACAGGTTAAAGACTTGACTGTAGAAACTTAATTACTTATAGCTGGTGATGAGAGGATCTTAAGATGTCAAAGTAAAACCATTGTTACGTTTTTCATATTTTCATAATTATTGATTACTTTTGGCAACAACTTTGTATCTGCTTTAAAATTGTCTTAAATAATCTGTCTAAACAATGAACACAACTGTGGCCTTTAACTGTTTTTCTTGTGGCTTTTTTCCCCATCCCCTTTTGTTTTCCAGTTATCTCTTAGAAAACCAAATGGTTATAGAAGCTTCTAAGGTGGATTTTCCTGCTGTGACCTTAAAGAAACAAGTGCAGGAAGTAAGGAGTTCTACATTAATCTCTACATTAATGGAAAATAGTTTTAAACTGCTGATAATTTGGGATATTAGTTCCAAAATATGGATACAATTACTGTTTTTTTAAGTGCAAAAGATTGAGAAAATGCTGACTTATATTACAGTGACTGCCTCAATGTGTGAGACACATGGAACATTTTCTAAGACCCCTAATCTGCAAAACATATCCAGTTGTAGCTAAATTTCTGGCAAAAGTTTTTTATCCTTTTACCTCTCTACCATGAAAAGAAAAAACCCTAGGACCATTTATACAGACTTCGCCTAAGTATTACTACTTGTGTTATCACTGTTGAAGAATTAAAAAATAGTAATTTGTTAATTTGAAAGGGATTCTTGTACAGTTATATTTATGTTTGTGTAAGCTCAAAACAGCATGGCAGTATTTGTAGCTTCAGAGACAGCACTAGGACCTTCCTCCTTCTTTGGTGTTTAAATTGGATGTTCTTGTCTGTAACCTGGTTAGTTGTTATCTTAGTAAATTGTCTGTCCCGTATGGTATGTAGGAGAGAGCCAGCGTACCCAGTTCATGGGTTTACTTATTCCTTACTTTTTTTTTTTTCATGTTTTTTGAGTTTAGTTGTCTAGTTCAGTTTCTCTTCTAATGGGCCTGTGACATTTCTTTTGTCCTCTTTAAAATCATCTTCCAGTGTCCATAAGATCATAGTGTTTTTACAGGCCAAGTGAGACTAAAATGCAAAAATCTTATCCAGGCAAGACTTGTAAAGTTGAGATGCAATTTTCTGAAGTAAAAAAATGATAGTACTTCATTGCAAACACAAATTATGTGACTGTAGAGAGTTTGCTTGTTAACTAGAACAAGCTCAAGGATCCGGCCTTTGCTTTTTGAGAAATAATGTGTCCACATGTATTCCTAAGCTAATGATGAAACAGTTTGTCCAGATATTGTCAAAGAATGTCTCTGGTTGTGTGAAAACTTGTAATGACTTAACTAGGAAAGATCAGATTCATCATAGTAAAACTCTAGTAACTCCATCTCCTTAAATAGAGTATATCCCTACGTCTCTGGAAGGGCTGATGCTGGCACACATTCATCCATCTCCAGTTTGTAGTGCAGACCTATGATCTGGATGCTGGTTTTGTCTGTACTAGACATGCAGTATAAAGATTCAAGCTCCACTATTTTTCCATCTTAAAAACGAGCTGCTCTTAAGCCACTGAAAGTGCGCTTGATGCAGATCATTCAAAGATGCAGCATTAGGACATTTTTTGCTAGTTTTAGTACTCTTATTTCTCTTTTTTTCCAGCTGAAAGAAAAGCTTGTGGAGTTCCACATTCGCATAGAATTGCTGACGAACAAGCTGAAGGAACTGGAACAAAGTAATTATGCAACACAATGGCAGAGCTCTGCATCAGATACAGATGGCCTACCACCAGGATATGCAGGAGTTAGGATCAACTAGTAGCTGTTTTCAAGAACTGCTGGAGTTGTTTCTGCATCTCTGCTGAGTTTGTTCATTATGGTGAAATAATGCACCAGATCAGATTTGAGTGTTGATCTGTCACTTTATCTGTGTATGGAAAGAACTGATGATTAAGTGCATCCCTTCAGGGGAACACCTGAAAACCTGACATCCTGAAGTTATGCTTGGAAGGCTGAATAACTCACCCATGCAGCACATCACTCTCTGAGGCAGTATAACTGTGACTTTGTTTTTTTTCTCTTGGGGGAAAACAGCCTTTGAAATACTAAAGTCAGGCTTCTGGAGCTATACAAACACACTAACAAGGTGATATTCAAGAGGAGCTGTTATAAATTGACCATTCTTAGAGATGTAAAGTTTTTGTCCTACCTTTTCGTATAGATAGTGTTAATGGCAGCCTGGGTGTTAATGGCAGCTGGTTGTTGGTTAAGTGGCTCATTAGCTATATCTCATATGCAGGCACTGCTAAATGGACTCCTGAATAGTTCTTTCAGATTTGCTCAATGTGTGTGGCCTGCAAAAGGAGCAGGCTGGCATGTCACAGATGCTACACACTGTTCTTATTGCATGAATCTGGATGGCACAATGCAGGCTCTAGCACAAGGTTTTGGATTTCAATTAAAGGGCAACCCATGTGCTTGCCAAGACCTCTGGAATGCAGCCCCATGACTGCACAGGACTGAGTCAAATACATCCATTTAGGCTGTGAGCAACTGCCTTTAACAAATTTGAGCACTTCTTTCTGGGGCTGAAACTGTGAAACCAAGGAACAGTCTTCTCCTTCACTTCTGCTCAGCCACAGGAGCTGCTCTGCTGGAGTTTTAATGATCTGCCTGCTGCCTTCAATTGGCCAGTCAAGATATTTCATAAAAAACACCTAATTGGCATTTCTTTCTATTTTGACTGGGTTCTGCTTATTTCCAAACATTGGAAAATAATTTGATGGAAAAGAAGGAGCACTACTTACCATTTGTTACCGGGACAGAGTATCTTTATCCCTAATTCTTGTTTGTTGGAAGGTTAAGGGTTCTTTTCCTCTCCTTTTTGCTGCCTAAAGGGTGAATGTTTTTCCCTAAGGGGATCAAATACTTTATGGGAAGTTTAGTAATTGTCTGTAGTAGTCTAGAGAGGATTCTATTTACTTGATCAGCTTAATTCCAGTGATGCTACGTGCAAGCATCTTTCCACCTCAGGTAAATGTTTTCCATTTTATAACTTCACCTTTGTGGTACTTCCTAAGTGACAGCATTTTGTTGTTGCCTTAGTCTAAGAAATGTGATTGATAATGGGACTACTTGCTTTTGCCCTTTCATTTCAGTTTCTGCATTGAGACTCTTTCTTGCTATATATTTTATGTCTATATATACTGTGTATAATAGTGCTAAATAGCTTTGCTTCATCTGGCTAAGTGTCAATGCCTAAAAGGGAAAGAAAGCTGTCAGTTACATTTTTGTATTATATTTACAGTTGTGAAAAAGAATTTTTTAAATTAAAAAAAAGCTGACATTCAGAAATTCATATTGTGCAAATCATTGCCAATATCATGAGTCACAGGCCTACTTCTTTTTCTTTGATTATGTTTGCAGGAATAAAACATCAGTTTATCTTGCTTGAGTCCTGGGTTGTTATGAGGCATTTAATGAACGGTTCCTCAAATTATATTACTTAGCATGAATTTAAACAAATAATGAATATATGCTAAATAATAGCTGTTAATTTTTTAAACTACATTTCTGTAATCTTTTGAACTGGGAGGACCTCTAAGTAAATTCTGTTTTAAGATGCAATCTGTATAAAATAAATACATTATCTTCAGTAATTTGAGATGAACATTTACTGAGATACCAAGTTAAACCTATGGATGCATTTTGATTTAACTGATGCTTATAAAGTTCTTTGTGAAAGAGTCAGCATTTGATCCCACAGCCTGTCCGGGATTCAAATTCCTTTTAATCTGAAATTGCTCAGTGAATAAATGTTTTTGTTATTCTAGAGTAGAGTCTTATCTCCTGTAGCTAGGCATCTTGAGATGTGTTCTAGCCTTCAGTGCAGGCAGGGCCAGTCTGGCTTGCAAGGGATGGATTCTCTGTTTAAATAAATAACAACCACTTAGAAAGCAAGTCTCAAGCTCAGGCCTTCTTATGTTAGCTAATCAGCAGCTGTCTTCTCTGGCATCCACAGATAAAACCCAATAGAAAATGAAACACTGGTTGAACAGGCTATTGAAGTAACAATCATACTGTGAATCTTCTGTAAGGTAGCAGAAGGGTCAGCAATCCACAACAGATTTTGGAAAGCTTGTGGCAGTATTAAAAGACTTCTCAGGTACTCCTGATGAGGTGGTGTCCTACTGCTGCATTAGAGCAGTTGCCAAAACTGCTTGCAGCAGCAACTGCAAGGAAAGTAGTGCTTCCCTGCAGGTTGTGACAAGCCAACCACAGAAGAAATTTTTCAGAAATGTAGTTATCAAAACAATAAACAATCCGTGTATATAAAACAGTTACCTGAGGGGCTTATTACTTTTAGGCCATCTATACAAGCAACATAGGGTTCTGCTACCCTCTAAAACAACCGTTGAAGCTTTTAACTGGTAAGTTACTCATCTTATGAGTGGAATAACAATTTTTGTTTAGTTGCCTTCCAAGTTAGAGGCTCTTGTGCTTGAAATCTGCTGGAACAGCTGGCCCTAAAGCAGATATCCAGCATATATCAGTTCAGCTCAAATTGTTAAGTTTTCACAAAGATACAGCAAGTACAGACACCTCAGAAGTGGAGTGTGTAGTAAGTTGATTATTTTGTCTTCTGAACAGATGACACATCCAGTTTTAGTGCATTCTCAGCCTGTGCTGCTTTATTGCTAAAAAAATTTGTATACAGGTGCAGAGTTTCCAAGTTCATTTTTAAACAGTTCCTCTTTACAGTGTCAAAAGAATAAATTCTTATCTTGAAATCCTCAAAGATGCATAGATATAAAAGCAAGCTGCCTTTTGGAAAAACATCAGAATTTGCAGGGAGACATTCTTTCACTGTTACCATGTAAAACGTGCAATGGGAGTACACAGTTCGTAGTTACACCAATAATTTCCTCCACTAATCCATGTAAGAATGCCATCAGAAGTTCAGTCTAAATATTTTCTGGCTTGTTTTAAGTATTAAGGTAATTTTAAATGAATTTATATTCAATACTTCTCCTTTGCTGTTATGCTTTCCAAAAGGAGGATAACTTCACCGACATCCTAAAGTAGCTTATTCCCCAGGTTATACTGAAGGGAAATACAAAGGATACAATGGCTTACTCATCACAAAAAAAATTGATTGACAGTATTTAAAACCATGCATAGTGTTCTAAAGACTTAAGAATGACCATGGTTAACCACTGGGCTAAATCTGTCTTACAAATTTACTTGTTGCTTGAGAAGTTGGCTCAAAGGATTTCATTTAGTCTAACTTCTGATACCATAAAATAGTTATCTTCTCTTATAATAGTCCTATCTTCGTTTGGCAATTCTTATACATCTAGAAAGAGTATTCATGCGAAAAATGCAACCCCTGTTTTAAACCCCAATCACGGTGCTTCATGAATGGTTGGCTATGAAGTATGAATAGGAGTTAACTTGACATACAATTTCTTCCGCCAAGACACTTCTTTCTATTTAAGAAAGAAGACTGAGCCTCTGTACATGGAGAAGTGTTCTGCACAAGTTAAGCCCACTTACAAAATTAAGCTAAGCTAGAAGTATGGAATTCTGCAATAACAAGCTAGTATTCTACATGTTTCATTACAAGTTTAAACTTGGAAAAGTATTAGTGATGTAGGTTATGCCACGCATTCTCTTATTTTCAAACTGCCAGCAGAATTGACTGCATTATCCACTAAGATTTGCGAAATATTACAGAGAACACACTAAGAGTTTACAGAAAGATGGCACCCAAATTCCCTTTTATTTAATAAGAGAAATAAAGAAAAAAGACAGTTGCAACCTGTGTTGCAGAAGATAAAGACCTTCAGTGATTAAACCTCATTTTCTGTTTTTAAAAATCTCTTTAAAGAACTTAAAAAATATACAAGATTACCAGTATTTTCAGGTTCATTCCTGCAGGTGCCATTATTGCTGGCTGGTACCAGTATGCTTCAGTACAGCTGCCTATGTGGCTAGAGTTACCTGAAAATACTGTCTATTAAAAAGCTATTCAACACCTGAAAAATATGTACTGTGCTTATTTAATTTCAGTCTTCTCCAAATAATTTCTCTCACCACATCCAAGCTTATTACCTACTGTCTGGCAAATACTACACTCAGTTTGAGTCTGTGGTTTCCATTGCTTGTTTGTCGGTTTGGAGGTTTGTTGGAGTTTTTTTGTTGGTGGGTTTTTTTGTGTTGTTTTGTGGCTTTGTTTTTTTTCTTTCCCACCAGTTGCTCCTCCCTGCACCTTGTAAGAAACTCTGCACCCTTTTCCTTGCTACAGCTGCAGCAGGTGAGAAACCTCATCTCGCCCCTAAACATGCTTAGTTCATGCCCTGCTTTTTACATGCTCAGGACACTAATATGAACCAGACAAGAGGTTATAAAGGCGAGTTCTGCTGATCCTAGTTCCTGATTTACAGTTTTGGTGCCATGCTTCTGTCCCTATCTATACATTCTGCCCCTTTCTCTACAGAGGCAGCACATTCTCTAAAAAAACCCAAAATTTGAGAATCAAAGCAGGAAGTTCAAGCTATTGGTATATTAATTCCTATTGCTTCATTATGTATAAATGCATATCTCAATTTACTGGTAATAACTACGTTACACTAGACATTTTGATTCATGCATAATTAGAATACTAGCTCTAAGGTTTGGTTTGTGGGCCTGTGCCGCTTTCCTTCACTTTCTCCATGCAGTTCTTCATGCCTAAGGCATTACAAATTAGCCTCCTTATATTTGACCTGCAAACACACTCATTTGGAGGGGAAATGGAGAGAAACAGACAGGATTCACATAGGACACACTGAACAGTTAAGTTACCTTTTATCTTTAACTTTAGATAGTGTAAAGTCTTGGCAATCTGTCTATATTATAACCTGGTACATAGGCTCAGAGACAGAAACATGCTCTGCTGACATCGTGAACACTGACACCTTCTCTAAATCTCAGGAGAAAGTGCAGAGCAGACTAAAAGGGAACAGACATCAGAATCCATGGTTAGTGTTCTGCACTGTTAAACTAGACACCCTGGTTCAACTGTTGGCTTTTGTGTGCCAGTCAAAGTACTGCAGGGGCAAAATGCTGGATCATTCTGTAAAAGAAATCCAGTGGAATCTAACTTGGACTGCCATTATGCAGCTTTGTACCTGAACAACAAGCAGGATTATTAGTTTTGGAGGAAGACCAGACAGTTTCCTAAAGATGCAGGAAGCAGTAATTTCTAAGATTGGTTATCCATCAAAAACTGTTCTTATCTTCAATATTTTTCCCTTTTCTGCCCAAAAAAGCAGGCTGCCAACTCTTGATAATGTAACCCAAGTGTCAGTGACCTCAAGCTCAGTACAAGTTCTTCTCACTCACTATCAAGAAGTCTTTGCAAGACTTTCTTTTTGTCCTAAATTTGACAGTTACCCTCAGTTGCAAAAGATGCAATCCTTGAAGGTGCAGTTCCCTGCACACGTACTGGCTGGACCTTCTTCAGCAGGACTACTGGATATGCAAACAGCATATACTTGTGTCATCTGGGTTTAGTACTGCTAAAGGAGGCATGTCCATACCAGTCACTACACCTTTGATATCCCACACCACAGTGTAGTAGCATCTAACACTTCCACTCAGGTTTAGAAGCTGTTAAATCAAGGAGGTTGAAGGAAAAGTCATGCCATTGTACAAGAGCTGAAAGGCAACGGGATTCCTTTCCTTGCTGTGAATAGTAATTTCTAGTCTAGTAGCCCATAGAATACAGATCATTATAAAAAGTCTGAACTGGGAAGAATATGAAGATAGCTTGCCTGACTACATCAGTCTTGATTTCCTCCCCCCTTCTCTGAACAGATATACCCTTAAAGAATTCTGTTCCACCAAAAAGTTCATAATTCTGAAGTACCAACGTGACTGCGTTTTCATTATTTCACTTTATGTAAATGTACTTGCTGACCACAGACCAGAATAAATTTATAATTTCTCTAATGTAATCAGATAACAGTCAAATTAAGGTCCCCTATGGCCAGCTTCCAATTTTACCAATAATTCAATAGCTGGAATTTATACTGATTACAGCCTTCCAGATCAATTAGCTTTTCATATGCATATTACATACTAGCCCACACTTAATTTAGACATTCTCATGCTTGTTACTTTATAGACTAAAAATGCTCACAGTTGTCACAGTTCCATTATCAATTTCTGAAGAGCCAAACTGCTTCACCTCCATGCTTTCAAAACCACAAGCTTCCATTCAGCTCTAAGTCACAGCCTAAATTACTTAAGCTTTCCAGAAGAAATCCAGACAGATAGATCTAAACCTCTGATGAAATGATTCTGTTCAGAATACATTATTATCTGCTGGGCCATATTGTCTCTATAGACTGAAAACTAGGAACACTTTAGAACTCCTGTGGCTCTTTTATGTAACCCTTTGACAGCAAATACTTTGCTGGGTGCACAGGCTACAGCTGTAGATCAATAACCCTTTCTGTTACCAGAGGCTTGCCTCTGTTACAGTACTTGCCCCTGTAAAACTTCAGGCATAGACAGAAATCAGCTATGGTCTGAAACAGTGTTTAGCAAGGTTAAAATTATTTCTTGCTGTAAAGTAACATTTTTAGAATTCTACAGCTGTGCCTGGGATGTACAAACCTTTTGAGTGTCAAGTGCTCTCTAATTTTTTTAGTTTGTTTTTTATTTATTTAAAGACCATCTCAGACTGGTCTTTTTAAACAAGAAAAAAAAAAACAACAGAACGGACTTCCCACAATAAAAGCTTCTAGAATGAGGTTCTCTTTACTGGAAAAGTTTAGTTTCTTCTCAGAGAAAAAAAAAATACAGGGAAACTTCAGCTATCCTTTCAAAAAGAACTGTCTGCCCTTCCTCTAGCACTCATTGACAGTGCTTCAGATGTGACAAAGCTAATTTTTCTTTTTTTATATATATCAAATTCATTAACTTTGTATTCAAGTGCCAAATTCCCTCCAATGAGAGGAACATAAGAAGAATTCACCCTTCTTCTCAGGAAGACTCTTCACACAAGTCCCTGCAGCACAGAGCGCCACAAACTTATTTGGTTATTACCCACTTACTCTACTGTACAGTCTTGCTAATGCAAGTTATTTACTATCACATGCAAAACAGTTATTGCTACTAAAGTCCTATTTTCTTATTAAATCATCTTATGGCTTTGTTTGCATCAGGGATTCTTCCCCCTACATACTGTGCTATTTTGCATTCCAGTTTCAGAGGTATTTTTCAATTGATTCTCCCAAGCACTAAACTAACTACTTTATTCAATGGTACAGCTACTTCCACTTAGAATTGAACCTGACTCTCAGCACAGGTCCCCCAGAGCTCTGCTGTAAATGGCCCATCTGTCCAATTTTCTTGGAAATGTATTAGATGCAGAGGGTTGTCTGTTTGGTTTTGTTGGGGTTTTTTTCCCTGTTACATACATCAACTCTGTATGGATTACTGCCATTGCACAGAAGTTTCATGCTTCTTGATAAATTACTTTAGAGATATCATACCAAAATTACAAAACCAAGTACCCATTCCCTCCCTCCCCCTAATGGCCATTTACAGG